GAAGAAGAACAAAATGTTTTGCTGGTAACACCCTAACAGTTGCCACATTTGAGTACTTTTGGGTGGATAGTTACTTGTACAGTATAGTCTTTCCTCCTCATTACCCGTAATATCAGAGAAGATCATCTCAGGGATTGTTACCAACATGCTAATTCCCCAAACAACTAAGCTGACTGTCACAGCATAGGAGACCTTCCTGATTCTGACAGCAGACACAGGATGGACTACTGTGAAATATCGATCGATGGTCATCAGCATGAGCAGCATGATCCCACTGTAGTAGCCAATGAAGAAAATTGAACTCATTATTTTGCACATGGCCTTGCCAAAGATCCATCCATTCGTGTGATCGACAGCCCAGAAAGGGAGCGAGAAAGCGAAGAGTACATCGGAGGTGACCAGATTTAAAATGAAGATGTCTGTCACAGTCCTCAGCCTCTCATATCTCACCAGGACCCACAAAACTAGAGCATTTCCAATCAGGCTGAAAATAAAGGCGAGGCTGAACAAGACTGGTGTGAGTATGGCTCCAAATTCGTTGGGTCCATGATTCTCACATAAGTAAACAAATATTGAATCATTTTCAAAATAGCCATTGTAGTCATAGTAATCATCGAAGGTAGTATAGATTTTAGGTTCAGCGGTCGACATAGCTGGTCTTTTCAAGCACAGCTTTGTGTGATCATTCCTGGATGAGAATAGAAAACAAGTCTGTTTGTGGGATTTTGTTTTAAATATTTGGTGCCAAAAAAGAATCTTAAATCCTACTAGCAATTCTGACAGGACCACAGTTTCTTCAGCCTTCCTGTTTTTTTTTAACCATTTTCAGTTTCTCCTGCGCTCCCACCCCCTAATTATTGGAGCTTATGATTCTAAGTATCTTCAAAGTACCAACCTTGTTGAATAACTTCCCTTCAGTAATGTTGAAACTGCTGAAATCTTATTTCATGAGAACTGCAAAATTTTATTTTGCACTTACTGGGCAAAATTGATCCTTCCACTGTTGGAATCAGGAAATGAGCCATGTTTCTATCAACAAATTATAATGTGGATAGATATGTTTTAGAAAGACATTGTTTTTTAAGTGAAACATGCAAAAGGAAACAATTTATAGTTGTCTGTTTTATTTGTCATTAAATCAACGACCATCAATACTTGGACAACAAAACAACGATACGATCACCTCCTTGTAATATAGTCACCACAGCAGAAACTAAGCAAAATCATCTTTATACTATAGCCCATAAGTTTGCAACTTTGTCTTGCTTAAAATATTTTTACAAATCATGTAAATTGACCCATACTTGCAGAACATATATTTCCTATCTGTCTTCAGTCTGCTCTTACAATTGTCAAATATGATCCCTTCTGAAGTACATACTCACGCTAGCTGGAGATTATCCTTTCTACAATGTGTGTTTTTTTAAAAAAAACTTGTCAAGTACCTTTACTTGAAAACTTCCCACCTTCCCATGGTATACCAACCTTTGCCAAATACCTTTCTTTCATCACACACTTGCAAATCACAGTAAATAACTTCTCATCTCACAAACATCAAAGTTCCTTCTTAAGTACACAAACAAATATTTCCAAATGTCCTCCTTTTAAAAGTGCTTTGAAAATAGTACTTTCTGGCCTTGGCTAGTACCTTCACTTCTGAAATACAAGTGCAACCCTTGGTCAGGAACTTCCAACCTAAACCATTTTGTGAACAAAATGCAAATTTATTTGTAAGTTGTGCCTTCTTGAGCGTGTATTAAAGTTTAGTCAGGGTTTTTCCATTACAGATTACAAAAAAATCCTTTCCAAGTAACTTGTCTATGTAATGTACATAAATAAATACATGTATAAACTTTGGCTTGTTACTAATGTTGTAAAGTACATGTAGATGGACAGAAATGGTGAAGGGCAGCACGATGGCTCAGTGGTTAGCACTGACGCCTCAAAGTGCCAGGGACCTGGGTTTGATTCCAGCCTTGGCCGACTGTGTGTAGTTTGCACATGCTCCTCATGTCTGCTTGGGTTTCCTCCGGGTGCTCTGGTTTCCTCCCAAGTCCAAAGATGTGCAGGTTAGATGGATTAGCCATGCTAAATTGCCCACAGTGCCCAGGGATGTGCAGGTTAGGTGGATTAGCCATGGGAAATGCAGGGTTACAGAGTATGGTGGCGGGGTGTGACGCTCTTCAGAGAGTCAGTGTGGACCCACAGCTTCCACACTGTAGAGGTTTCTATGATTCTGTGAACTGGCATTCTCTCTAATTCACAATAGTTCAATTGGCCAGTTAACTTTCTTTATAAAATGCATCAAAACACCTTACCATATTCTGTCCTTTCTAAATAAGTATACAGGCAATACCTGAACCTTCCCTTCTAAAGTACATGCCACACATCAAACATGTTCCCCTCTAACATGGAGCCATAAAATATTTAAAATATCTTACTTCCTAAAAGATAGATATGATTAAGTATTGTATATACTTAGCTAAGTACATTTCCTTTTGAAATATATAGTTAACTCCTGATAGGTATCATCCAATACAAAATGCATCTACAAACATTTCCTACTTTTCCTCTGAGGTCTCTATGTAAGTCTTATCCATTATTTTCCAATTATAAGGATAGAAGAAATTAGAACTGGAGCAGGCTATTTGGACCCACAAGCCAGCCATCCCATTTTATAAGATCATGTTGATCTTCCCCGGACCTTAACTCTTCCTTTATGCCAGCTCCTCATAGTCCTCAATACACTGATATTTCAAAAATCAATCCAACCCATCTTCAAACACTTTCAATGATCTAGCTTCCAAAACTCTCAATCTGGGACAGAGAATTTCTGACATTCACTATCCTCAGAGAGCCCCAGGGGTTCAGGTACATAATTCTTTGAAGTTTGCATTACATGTAGATAGCTAAGAATGTGTTTAGCATGCTTGCCTTCATTGCTCAGAACTTTGATTGAAGGAGTTGGGATGTCATGTTGAGGCTGTGCAAAACATTGGTCAGGCCTCTTCTGAAGTACTGCGTCTGGTTTTGGTTGCCCTGTTATAGGAAGGATATTATGAAGCTGGAGAGGGTTCAGAAGAGATTTACCAGGATGTTGCCTGGAATGGAGGGTTTGAGTTGTAAGGAGAGGCTGGATAGGCTGGATTTTTTTTTACTGGAGTGCAGGAGGTTGAGGGGACACCTTATAGAGGTTTATACAATCGTAAGGAGTATAGATAAGGTGAGTGGCAGGTGACATTTCCCTAGAGTCGGGGATTTCAAGACAAGGGGGCATATTTTTAAGGTGAGAGGAGAAAGATTTTAAAAAAGACATGAAAGGCAACTTTTTAACTTTTGTGGTTTAGAATGAACTTCCAGATGAAGGGGTGGATGCAGGTACAGATACAATGTTTAAAAGACATTTGGATAAGGTCATCAATAGGGAATACATAGAGGGATATGGGCCAGGTGCAGGCAGGTGGGACTAGTTTAATTTGGGAACATGGTTGTTGTGGACTGGTTGAAGCGAAGGTCTGTTTCCGTGCTGTATGACTCTATGACTCTGGGAGAAGAAGTTTCTTCACATTTCAGGTTTAAATGAGTGTCCCTTCAGTCTGTAACTATGTCCCCTAGTTTGAGGCTTTTCCACTAGTGGAAACCACTTCTCAAGACCAGGGAACAAGGTTTGTTTCCACCCTCGGGTGACTGTCTGTGTGGAGTTTGCACATTCTCCCCGTGTCTGCATGGTTTTCTTCTGGGTGCTCTGGTTTCCTCCCTCGGTCCAAAGGTGTGCAGGTTAAGTGGATTGGCCATGGGAAATTGCCCTTTGTGTCTAGGATTTACAGACTAGATGGGTTAGCCATGGGAAATGCAGGGTTACAGAGACAGCATCGGGGCATAGGTCTGGGTGGGATGGTCATAAGAGGGATGTTGTGGACTTGATTGGCCAAATGGCCTGCTTCCATTCTATAGGGATTCTACGAACTCCTCAGAATCTTGTAGTTTCAATAAGATCACCCCTCCTTCTTTTAATGAGTAAAGGTCCATCTTGTTTAGCTGTTTTTCATCAGTCAGCCCCTTCATCTCAAGAATCAGACTCAGTTATGTTTTTTGAACAGCCTCCAATGCCAGTGCATTTTTTCTTGTATAAGGGGAACTAAACTGTACAAATTATTTCCGATGTGTCCTTACTAACACCCTGAATGTTGTAACAACACTTCTTTCTTTTTAAACTCCAACATATTAAAATTGCAAAAATTCCATTTACCTTCTTAATTACTTGCTGCACCTGCTTGCTAACCTTTTGTGTTTCATGCAGAAGGACACCTAGATCTTTTCGCACTGCACTTTTTGGGAGTCTCTCTTCATTTAAATAACATCTTTCCTAACAAAGTGCATGACCTCATGCTTTCCTACATTAAACTCCATCTGCCAGGTTTTTGCCCACTCTCTCAAACTATCTGTATCACCTTATGCATTCCTCATTCCTCTTCTCAACATGTCCTTCCTTTTTTGATCATCAGCAAATTTGGATACATTATACTTCGCCCCTCCCTCAAGTCATTAATAAAGATTGTAAATAATTGAGACACTAGAACTAATCCAAGTGGCATTCCACTTGTTATGCCTTTTCAACCTGAAAAAAGACCCATTAGTCCCACCTCTCTGCCTTCTGTGTGTTAACCAATAGTCAACACATGCTAATATATTATCCACAAAATTGTGAGCTCCTATCTTGAAAAATAACCTTTAATCTTGAACCTTAACAAGTGCATTCTTGAAATTATTGTAACACGTACATATACGCTTTGTTAGTATTCTCAAATCCAAAGTACATTGGCAAACCTTGACAATTATCTTCCTTTCTGAAGTACTTGCATAAATCCTGCGCTGATCCCCTATTTTAAAGAACCATTAGAAAGAAGATGACATATCTTCACTTTAAATTATGTCTATGAATCATTTCAAATACCCTCTCAACTAAAACACACATAAACTCCTTCCCTAGTACTTTATCTCCTAAAATATTTGTACAACTTTGTTAGGCTCCTTCTATCATCAATTGAATGTGCATATTTTATTAAGAATCTTGTGTTTCTGAAAACATGGATTATATATTGTCCCTTCGACAGCATATTTAAAATCCTTGCTAAGACATTGCATATCTAAGCCTGCAGAGTCTTTTCTCTTTTAATACATGTATAAATTGTGTAAAAACTATCCTTTCCAAAGTACAAAGACAAAAATGTACATTATTGTCATTTCCTGTCAGATCCTTTACTTCAAATATGCACAAACAACCCACAGCAAAAACCTCCTCTTGTACATTACATGTACAGCCCTGACTGATATCTTTCCTACTAATTTAACACTTGTCCAATACATCTTCTTCACAAATAACAGTGAAACCTCATTAAATACAGCAATTTCTAAATAACATATATTCAAATATCTTACCTCTTAAACACAAACTTTGTCAAGTATCTCGCCTTCCACTCAGTGCACTTTCAATATGAAACTTGCAAAATATTCATTGTTCTTAGCTCAGCAAGATACATCCCATCATTATAGAATGAGGAAATGACTAAAAGCTAGTCAATTGTTAAAGAACAACCTTTGGTTTTGATGCTAATGAATTAAAAGAATCAAAAATGAAATTATTTCCCTGTTTAATTTACATATAAAGTAATTGATACCAATACCTATGATAAACACTGACAACAGGATATGTTACTGCATCTTCCTTATCTCATACAATGAATTCATAAGATTGTAGTCAAGTCTTCCACATAAACAAAACTAATAGAAATCACACCATCCACCTTATGTAGAATGATGACATAACGTGTTGCAGTGTCTCCCAGATAATAAAAACAGTTGGAGAAATTGATAGCAAATTTACGACATAAATCATAACAGTGAATAAATGTATTGTTTAAATTAGAGTGATTGGCGCCTCTTTTATCATGTCAGGCCAACTCTCCAGATATTTTCTAATGAACCTGTTCACAGACATTATTACACATCTCTGGAGCTGGTGGGGTTTTGTAGCTGGGCTTCTTGGCCCTGGGGGAGGGAACTTACCCTCAGGCCATCCCTCCTTGATAGTTTTCCACAATACCTCCAATACTTTGGTTATTAGCAGTTTCTGATTGATATTGGTCACATTAATGAAACAGAACCACTTTGAGCATGTTTGCCATCTCACTGTCTGTGCTGCCTGCTTAGAATCATAGAGTCATAGAGATATACAGCACGAAAACAGACCCTTTGGTCCAATTTGTCCATGCCGACCAGATATCCTATATAAATCTAGCCCCATTTGCCAGCATTTGGTCCATATCCCTCTAAACCCTTCCTATTCATATAACAATCCAGATGCCTTTTAAATGTTGTAATCGTACCAGCCTCCTCCACTTCTTCTGGCAGCTCATTCCATACATCCACCACCCTCTGCATGTAAAAGTTGCCCCTTAGGTCCCTTTTATATCTTTCCCCTCTCACCTTAAACATATGCCCTCCAGTTTTGGACTCCCCTACCCCGGGGAAACGACCTTGCCTATTTATCCTATCCATGCTCCTCTTGATTTTATAAACCTCTATAAGGTCATCCCTCAGCCTCCGACACTCCAGGGAAAATAATCCCAACCTATTCAGCCTCTCCCTATTGTTCAAACCCTCAAACTCTGGCAACATCCTTGTAAATCTTTTCTGAACCCTTTCAAGATTCACAACATCTTTCCTACAGGAAGGAGACCAGAATTGTACGCAATACTCCAAAAGTGGCTGAACCAATGTCCTGTACAGCTGCAACATGACCTCCCAACTCCTATACTCAATGCACTGACTAATAAAGGCAAGTATACCAAATGTCTTCTTCACTATCCTGTCTATCAGCGACTCCACTTTCAAGGAACAATGCACCTGCACTCCAAGGTCTCTTTGTTCAGCAACACTCCCCAGGACCTTAGCATTAAGTGTATAAGTCCTAGCCTGATTTGCCTTTCCAAAATGCAGCACCTCACATTTATCTAAATTAAACTCCATCTGCCACTCCTTGGCCCATTGGCCCATGTGATCAAGATCCAGTTGTACTCTGAGGTAACCTTCTTCGCTGTCCACTACACCTCCAATTTTACTGTCATCTGCAAACTTAGAAACCATACCTCCTATGCTCAAATCCAAATCATTTATATAAATGACGAAAAGCAGTGGACCCAGCACCGATCCTTGTGGCACAGCGCTGGTCACAGGCCTCCAGTCTGAAAAGCAATCCTCCACCACCACCCTCTGTTCTCTACCTTTGAACCAGTTTTATACCAAATGGCTAGTCCTTCCTGTATTCCATGTGATCTAGCCTTGTTAAACAGTCTACCATGAGGAACCTTGTTGAATGCCTTACTGAAGTCCACATGGATCACATCCACTACTCTGCCTCATCAATCCTCTTCATTACTTCTTCAAAAAACTCAGTCAGGTTAGTGAGACATGATTTCCCACGCACAAAGTTGTAGATCCAGTACAATGTTTGCATCCTTTTTTGGGTTTGGCAAACTGCTTAGTGTATTTGAGGTAACCATTGTTGTATCAGGTTCATAGCAGATGTCAAACTTGTGCTCCTGAACCTTTACTAAGGTTTGGGTGGTGCATTTGTCAATGGTTTGCACCAAAACATCTCCAGAAGTTTGTGATTGGTTTCCACAATGAAAGGCTTTTTGCCAACAGGTAGGTTTGGAATCTTGTGATCCCAAATAGCAAAGTAGATGTTTCTTGCTGTATCTTAGAGGAATTGGAATGTGCTTAAGATAATCTTTTGGATCTGAACATGAGCGGTTTATTTTCTCACACGGTGCACATTTGTAACCCTTTCTCTAAAGCAACAACTTCCATGTTTGCCCTCTGCTTAGGCCCATCGGACTGCAGGATACAAGTTTCCGCATTTTTGAGAGACTCGATCATATGTGGGTGGTCCTCCTGCCATATATTAGTTGCATCTTTCTTTAGGAACTCTCTTTGTGATGATGCTTTATTGGGAAAGTTCAGCATGCATGATTACAAGAAGTTGAAAAGCCTAAGGTATCTCACTAAGTTTCCTTTGTCTTGTGGGGTAGGTACATTAGTAGATGTCCTATATCCTCTAATTTGCCTTGGTCAGGACAGATTCAGCAACTTGAATATAGACTCAAAAATAACTTATATTGACCAAACTCTTCTTGCTGTTGTGCATGAGATATTCACAGTGAGCTACTGCAGTCAATAAGTGAAGATTCTAATCATGCTTTTCTTTGGTTTTGCCCATAACTACAATATCATTGGTATTACATATGTATCCAACACACTTTCTGTAATGCTGTCCATGAGTTGCTGGAACAGATCTTGACTGACAGACAAATTGAAGGGTAGTCTCTGAACGCAATCTCTTCCAAATGAAGGTAGTTGCTTTCTGAGAGACTGTAGCTACATATACCCATTATATCCATTAAAAAAAAACCCAAAGAACTGCGAATGCTGGAAATCAGAAACAGGAACAGAATTTGCTGGAAAATCTCAGCAGGTCTGGACTTTTATAGCAATTTCTGATTTTGTCTCATTATATCCCCATTTGGCCTGAAGGTTGGAGCAGAATTTAGCTCTTATGAATGCGGGATTCACTTCATCGGGTGTTGGATTCATGTGTATACGTCTCTTTAGGGGGAGACTCATATATCTTGTATCTCAACAAATCCTGGTTGGGCTCTTTTTCTTTATTACATGTGTAAAGGAACTATCTGTCTAGTGATCAACATGGCAGATTCTGCCGCTGTGTTACATGTCTTCTGGCTCACATTTTGGTTTTCTTTGTATGGGAATACTGCACATTCTGGGAGGGTCAAGTAGTGGAATTATATCTTCCCTGAGGTACAATATAGAATCATCATAGATTGTTGATTTTAGGGGCTTGTGATCACAGTCAGGAAGTTGACGATTTGTGGGTAATTTGCTGATTAGTGAGTTTGTTAAGAAGCAGCAGTTTAGATATGACAGTTAGTTAGATTTTAAAGAAAGTGTGCAACGGGGACAATTGGGAATGGTTCACTGATATCGGAGGGCAAACAGGCTGTCATTGTAGAATGTTAAAGTGGCAAGTCAGCATCCTGCTCTCTAGCTGAGGTGTTAGAGAACTCTTCTCTTGGTCTTCCTCCTCTCCTTCAGGGCTGTTTTCCATCTGCTTGGAGGAGACTGCTGTCTGGGAAAACTCCCCTGTACCCTGTAATCTTCTCTGATGATGGTCCCTGAATGAATCCTCCAGCGCAGATTGGACCTAGCCCAGGAGCAGAGTCTGGCTTCTGAACTCTCTTGGCCCCAGCATGGTTATCCCAGCATGCAATTGGCCTAGCCTCATATGTGCTCCCTTCATATCCGGAGGACACCTGCTCTCTCAGAGTCTGGCACTTATTGTTGTCTCATTGTTCTAGGAGCAGGGTATTTTCTCTGTGTCAGTTAATTGTCTGAACCCTTTTGACCAATGGTCATGGGACATCCCTTTCCTGCTCTGATCTAAGGGTTAGTTTACCATTCTTTCAAAGCTTATTTTCAAAAAACAGCACACTGATACTAGGGTATGTTTGATGCCAGATGAATTACTGATGCCTTGTCTTGGGTGTTGTAACTTCTGTGTTTTTTGTAATTCTTCCCTTTGTTTTCATATACTAGAGTTTTGGGAAAGTACTGCTGTGACAGCTGTTAGATAAAATCTCATGCGGGATAGTAAATACCAGGAAGCTTCGGTTTTTAAGGAACCTCAAAATTCAATTGTCCACCCTTTTTGATCTAGCCCAAAATAGCTGACCTAGACAGATACTGACCAACCATTTCCTTGGTTCTTATATTAAATTGTTAGAATTCTCCTCTCTGTATTGGAGCTAGGTCTTTGGCTTATCTTTAGCTGGTTATGATAGATTATGTATGCATATAAAAGATTCTTCAGCTTTCCCTTCGTCTCGATCCATCTTGAGGACTTCTTAAGTATTTACCTTCTTAGTCTCCAATTGTCCTGACCCAAAATTCATTTTACATTGGTTTTTACCACCTTCTGATCAATACCACTTTCATTGTTTTAAGTTCAGTTTCTCCATGGATTATGTGTCAGTGCTTTATCACTTAAACTATAATTGTATGCTCTTCCGGGCCACAATAACCATTTTGTTAAGTAGGTGTATGTGTCTGAGGCTTGTTCTTCAATGCATTTTCACCATGCATCTCCTCAAGTTAGTTACTTCAGTTGTAATAATTATTCTGCATGCTTACATTTGTATCTCAAGATCATGCCATGCGTTCTTGACTTTCAGGTGATCTTTTCAAAATATTCACAATTGGTGGGGGTGCATGTGTATCCTCCCTACCTGGTTCCAATATTCCAATATGGCCAAAGCATCCAATTCTGCCCTTGAACAAAACTCACAGCCAAAGGCTTATATATCTCCAGGAGAAAACTTAATGATTT